AGTCCTTTAATTCTTTCTCCCAATGATCCCCCCTTTTGTGTTCAGCTCAGGCCTCAGCACAATAATGTAAACCTTTGGAGAAAAGATACAGCCCAGTAATCCAGCACTGGAGGCCAAGATAGAGAAGATCTCCATGGCTACTATGTATTTCCCTTTGGTACTCAGGTAAGTTGGTACAAAGGACACCCAAACACTGCAAAAGATCAGCATGCTGAAGGTGATGAACTTGGCTTCATTAAATGTGTCTGGCAGCTTCCTGGCTTGAAAAGCCACAATCAAGCTGATGATGGATAGGAGTCCCATGTAACCCAGGACAATGTAAAGCATAAGAACAGACCCCTCATTACAGAAGGCTACAATCTCTTCAATCAATGACTGCATGTCAAAATCTGGGAAAGGGGGAGATGTTCCTAGCCATACTGTACAGATGCCGACTTGAAGAAAGGAGAAGGAAAGGATTATGAAACTGGCCAGTCTTTTCCCCACCCACTTCCTCATGCTGGATCCTGGTTTGGTGGCCATGAAAGCTACAACTACAGTGATGGTTTTTGCCAACACACAAGACACTGCCACTGAGAAGACGATGCCGAAAGCAGGTTGACGGAGGATACATGTCACCTTCTTAGGCTGTCCAAGAAACAGCAAAGAGCAAAGGAAACAAAGCAGAAGTGAGAGGAGTAGACCATAGGTGATATCCCGGTTGTTGGCTTTGACTATGGGGGTATCTCTGTGTGTAATGAAAATTCCTAGCACCAAAGCTGTGATTAGGGAAAGAGAAAGAGCTATTACAGTCAAACAGATCCCTAAAGGGTCTTCAAAGGACAAGAAGGTTGTAACTTTAGGGATACATCCATTTTGGTCCTTGTTTGGATAGTGATCTTCAGGGCATTTGATGCAGTCTTCCATGTCTGAAACAAACAAAAGGAACAGGGGTCATCACAGCAGCAACTCATGGTCACCTTTGAAGTACCACCACTGTGGAAAATGTTATTCATGCTTAATGCTTACTGTTGGTCCTGTGTATGGAGTAGATGCTTACAATTTCTTGAACAGTCTAAAACCATGGGGAAAATAATTGTATTTTCTATTTTTTTGAGTGAATGTGAAAAGTGAAATGGGGGTGGGATTAAAAGATTTGCAATATATACTTCCTTTCAAATTCATACTTTTGGTGGATTCAATAACATCATTTATAACTGTAAATAAAACTTTCTAATTTGGTATGTTTTATGAAAATTTCAAAAGTAATTTTATTCAAAAATTGCAAATATGTCCTATATTTGAGAAATTTCTGCACCCTATGCTACCTTAACACATGTATCTTCAATTTTTGAGAAATGAGAAATTTCTGCACCCTATGCTACCTTAGCACATATATCTTCAATTTTTGCCATCTGAGAGAAACAAACAAGTAAAAAAAAAAAGAATATAGAAAACAAATCGTATAGCAAACAAAAGGAAGTGTATTACCTGGAAAGAATGATTCTCATGCAGTTATAATAATTAGGCCTAGAGAACATTTGGAAAGCAAACTATTTATAATATTATTTATAACATTAAACACATTGTAGCATATTTATTGTTGCCAAAATTAATCAAATTTAAACAATAAACATATTCAAAATATATTGTCTATCTCTACGGTGTATACAGGAATTATCGTTATATAATTTACATGCCCTGTGAAGACACAAACTCAGAGGACTAAAAGCTGAGGCTCATTGTGACCTTATTTACTCATAAAGTCAATTTATCTGTCAGGCTTTCACCATTACATACCCTTCTGAGTTGATATTTTCCCTTCTGGGCATGGAGCACAATCATAGCAGCAGAATTGTTTTCCTTCTTTCTTTTTCTTCTGATAACCAGGGGGGCAGTACTCATTGCACAGAGATAGAGGCTGCACCTGCCCACAGGTGAATGAGGGTTGGGATGAGAAATATCAGGGAATTATTGTAGTATTTGTTAACTGACATATCAAACCAAGCAGTAAGCAGTTAAAATGGAATAAAACTGAATCTGGCATGCAGCAATTGTAGCACTCTGCAAGGTATGGCATAGATTCCCTCACCTCCTTTTGTATTCCCATTGCTGAGGAAACTTTGTGGACAGAGTAACTAGTCATCCCAGTGTTTTTTCCTAGTGAAGATTTTTTTAAAAAAAATGTGGCTCCATTACAAACCTACCAAAATCTAATCAAGGAAAACATGGATTCACAGATATGAAAGAAATTTTTCCCATGTAGAAATAGAGATATTTGTCATTTTGATCTCATAGCTATCTTCAACATTTGAGTGAGAATAGTGGTTGTACCTTCATTGCATGGCCAAAAAAAAAGTATCAAAACATTCAGCCAAGGAATCTCTCTGTCCCTAAATCAACAATCTCAGTAATGGAGTGGCCTCTAAGAAGGCTCTGCAATGCAAACCTGGTTAAAACTTGCTTGCCATACGATCATTTCTTCATCAATGATGAATTCTCCTCCTTCAAGAATGCTGGGATCCACCCTTCCCACTTTCACACTACCATAGGACTTGTTTGGGAAGGTGACCAGGTTCATTATATCAAACCCGGTTTTCCTCTCACCAGTCTTATCAAAAGATATCATTTCGCCTGCTGAATTATTAAATGTAATGCCTTGAAGAATCCGGTGCAGCTAGGTGAAGAAAAGGAAGAAAATATATGAAAAACTGTGTCCTGTTTTATAGAAGAAGAAGGGATTGGATTTATACCTCACCCTTCACTACCCAAACAGTTTCAGAGCAGATTTCAATCTCATCCCCTTCCTTTCCCCACAACAAACACTCTGTGAGGTAGGTGGGGCTGAGAAAGCTCTGAGAGAACTGCTCTTCAGAGAACAGCTCTGAAAGAAATTCTGACTGACCCAGGGTCACTAAGCTAGCTGCATTTGGAGGAGTGGGCAAACCCCGTTCTTCAGATTAGAGTCCACTGTTCTTAGCCACTCCACCATCTCTTCTTGAAGATAAACTTAATATAAATCCAGACAAATAATACAACTATTTTTCAGGGAGTAGGGAGACAATCTTCTTCCCCCTAGACTTTGAGTCTCAGAGGAGAAAACCCACAACACCATGCTGTTGAATAATCTGCTCAGTTATCCATGCTGTCTCGCCTTTAAAAAATAAAAATACAATAAATACAATTTCAATAAGTGGACATCACCTGCCAAGGTTGGACATGCTGAAATTTGAATCTTCTGCTGCCTGCCATTTTT